TTCTTTCTGTCTCTCATTCTTTTTCTTTCATTCTGTCTCTCCTCTCTTCCTTCCTCTTTCTCTGTTCTTTCTCTCATTCTTTCTCTCTCTTTCTCCCTCCCTCTCTCTCTCTCGTTCTCTCTCACACACATTCTCTCTCTCACACACATTTTCTCTCTTCCTGCTTTTGTAGTTTCCGAGCCATTTGGCTGTCACAGCCTTTTTGGTGCCAAACCACCGGGGGAAAAATATGGGCCGAGGAATTTAGGGCTTAGAGAAGGGGGGAAACAGCCCTTCCAGCGTGACAAACCCTCCAAAGCCAGAAAGTCCCCCCTCCCCCGACTCCTATTGGCCTCTTGGAGAGCTGGGGGAGGACCTCTGGGTGCCCCAAATAAAAGCCCAGATTAGCCAAGGTTACAAATCATGGTTGGAGAGCCAGGGGCTCCTCATTCTGCCCACTCAACTCCAGCCTCAGTTTCCGGTCCAGCTCGCTCTGGTAAGTGGGGGGGTGGATTTTTCTGTGCCAGGGAAAAAGATCCCAGCTTTGGTCAGGGAAAGGATCTGCCCTCTGATCCCAAAAAGGATTCCCCTTTAAGGAGGAGATTTGGAGGCAGGATCGATGCCGGGTTGGTTTCACAGCCGGGCGGGATCTGGAAGGATGGAGAGGTCGACAGGAGGAAAGGAAAGAAGGAAAGGAAAGGAGAGAGAAAGGAAAAGAGAGAGGAGAGAGGAGAGGAGAGAAATGAGGAGAGGAGAAGAGACAAGAAGAGGGAAGGAAAGGAAAAGGAAAGGAAACTAAAGGAATGAAAGGAAAGGAAAGGAAAGGAAAGGAGAGAGAAAGGAAAGAGAAAGGAAAAGAGAGAGGAGAGGAGAGAAATGAGGAGAGGAGAGAAGAAGAGGCAAGAAGAGGGAATGGAAGGAAACTAAAGGAATGAAAGGAAAGGAAAGGAAAGCAAAGGAGCGAGAAAGGAGATAAAAGAAAAGAGAGAGGAGAGGAGAGAAAGGAGGAGGAGACAAGAAGAGGGAAGGGAGGGGAAAGGAAACTAAAGGGAGGAAAGGAAAGGAGAGAGAAAGGAAAGAGAAAAGAGAAAGGACAGAGGAGAGGAGAGGGGACAAAAAGAGGGAAGGGAAGAAAAGGAAAGGAAGGAAAGGAAAGGGGAGAGAAAGGAAAGAGAAAAGAGGAGAGGAAAGGCAGTGAAAGGGGAGGGGAGGATGGAGAGAAAAAAGGGGAAAGAGGAGAAAATGAATGAAGGAATGAAGGCAAGAAGGAGGACGAGGAGAGAGGGATAGAGAGGAGGAAGGAAGGAAGGAAGGAAGGAAGGAAGGAAGGAATTGCTCTCCCCCGTCGGCCTCTCAGCCTCCTCTTCCAAACAGCACCTAATTGCAACTTTATTCACCTATTATTTGAACCCCCCCCCCAAGAGAAAACCAGGGATGGTGCTAGAATAACTGTAACCCCCCACCCACCCCCAACCCCTCAATGGCAGCGGCTGGCAGGTGGCTCTGTGAAACCAGCCTCTCTGGGCATGTGCCAAGTGCTCTCCAGCCATCAGGGACCAATCCTCCCAACGTTTGGTTTTCCAAATGCCTACGGGAGGGTTGGCGGGGGGGGGAGAGAAGAGCAGGATTTGAACCCCAAAACAAGCGCCAGCCCCTCTTAAATTTGACGCCCTTCTGCTGTGTCCGCCTCGGCCTTTCGGGGCGGGGGGGGGCCTTCCTCCCCCCGTCCTTTTGGGCTTCATTCTTCTTTTCCTCTGCCACGGATGCCCGTCCCAAAGGTGCCAGGCTGGCATCCGAATGACTCACCCTTTCCTCTCTTTGGCCACAGGATTCGCTGGCTGGGGCAGCCCGGGGGGGTGGGAATACTGTCAGGAAGGAGGAGAAAAAAGGGGTTCAGGGGGCAGAAAAGGGGGCGTTCCTCCCCCCCCCCCCCCCCCGGTAAAAATTAGGGTGCATCTTAGCCACCAAAACCTCAGGCACACAGGAAAGATGCTTTTTTTCCTTTCCTTCTCTCCATCCCTCTCCTTCCTTCCCTTTATCCTCTCCTTCCTTTCTTTCCTTCCTTCCCTGCATCCCTTCTTTCTCTTCGTCCTCTCCTTCCTTTCTTCCTTCCATTCCTTCCTTCCCTTCATCCTCTCCCTTTTCCTTCTCTCCCTCTCCTTCCCTCCTTTCCTTCATCCCTCCTTCCTTCCTTCCCTCCATCCCTTCCTCCCTTCTTTCCCTCCATCCCTCTCCTTCCTCCTTCCCCCCTTCTTCCCTCCCTCCATCCCTCTCCTTCCTCCTTCCTTTCATCCCTCTCGTTCCTTCCTTCCCTCCATCCCTTCCATTCTTCTTTCCCTTCATCCCTCTGCTTTCTTCCCTTCCTTCATCTTCCTTCCATTCCTTCCTTCCCTTCATCCTCTCCCTTTTCCTTCCCTCCTTCCCTTCATCCCTCTCCTTCCTCCCTCCCTTCCTTTCCTCCATCCCTTCCTCCCTTCTTTCCCTCCATCCCTCTCCTTCCTCCTTTCCCTTCCTCCCTTCTTCCCTCCCTCCATCCCTCTCCTTCCTCCTTTCTTTCATCCCTCTCGTTCCTTCCTTCCCTCCATCCCTTCCATCCTTCTTTCCCTTCATCCCTCTGCTTCCTTCCCTTCCTTCATCTTCCTTCCATTCCTTCCTTCCCTGCATCCCTTCCTTCCCTTCATCCTCTCCCTTTTCCTTCCCTCCTTCCCTTCCTCCCTCTCCTTCCTCCCTTCCCTCCCTCCATCCCTCTCCTTCCTCCTTTCTTTCATCCCTCTCGTTCCTTCCTTCCCTCCATCCCTTCCATCCTTCTTTCCCTTCATCCCTCTGCTTCCTTCCCTTCATCTTCCTTCCTTCCTTCCCTCTCCTTCCTTCCCTTCCTCCCTCTTCCCTTCCTTACTTCTCTTATCTTTTCCCTCCTTCGACCCGTTCCTTTCTTCCTTGTCTCTTTTTTTCCCTTTCTGTGTCCCTTCCTTCTCCTTCTCCCTCCCTTCCTCTTGCGTCTCTTCTTTCCTTTCCTCCCTCTCTCCCTTCCTTCTCTGCGCCTTTTCTCTCCTTCCTTCCTTCCTTCCTTCTGCATTCCTTCCTTCCCTCCCCGGGGGAGGCAAAATTGCCTTTTATTTCGTTTTACAAATCCACCCAAGTGGGAGACCCCATTCACTGCCCAGAGCCACGTTTGACCAACCTTGGGCCCCGGGAAGATGGGTGGACTTCAACTCCCAGAGTTCCAGAGCTGTCTGAGGAACGCTGGGAACTGAAGTCCACTCATGCTGTCTGGGGCATTCTGGGAGTTGAGGTCCCCCCCCCTTTTTAAACATGGCCCAGGTTGAGAAACGCCAGTCCCCAACTCCTTTTCTTAACCGATTAGCTGGATCCCCGTGTGCTTCGCTATGAAACTGTGTGGTGGGGCTTACTTTTGGGGGAGGAAAATAAGGGGAGGGGGGGAAATTCTGCCTCTGCCTATCAGCATCCATGGGTATTCATCTGGCTGGCGTCCTGTCAAGGTGTGAGAGAGTTGAGGGCTGTTTGGAAACTGAAGCAGTATTTGCTGTGTGAGCAAGAAGGAGACAGCCAGGAGCCTGGGCGTGGCTTAGCTCAACAGTTCTGTACTAAAGCTGCTTGGGGCTGCTGTGAAACTAAAACTAAAACTCCTCTGCTTGTGTTTTGCATTGGGAAGAGATTTCTTTCCAGGTGGGGAGGAGGAGTCGAACTCCTTAGCATCAGAGCGTGTTAATAATAATAATAATAATAATAATAATAATAATAATAATAATAATAATAATAATAATAATAATAATAATATAGGAAATACTCTAAATGCTCTGAGGGTCATTTGGAAAAATCCTTTCTTAGGGAGCCCCTAGAAGCCCAGAGGAACCTACGGGTCAAATTTAAAGTTTGTAGGCTTTACGGTTCCGGAGATTTTTTTGTGATGATGTGATGAGGGATAATTTCGCTTTGACATAGATAGATAGAAGACTGACAAGAGTTGGAAGGGGCCTTGTAGGTCATCTAGTCCAACCCCACCGCCCAAGCGGGAGACCCTACACCGTTTCTGACAGATCCTCCTCTTTCAACAGCACCCAGAAATGGCCACCCCCTTGGAGAAAGCCCTGGACACCATGGTGGTCACCTTCCACAAATATTCCCAGAAGGAAGGAGACCAGTTCAAACTCAACAACACGGAACTGAAGGAGCTGCTGAAACAGGAGCTGCCCGGATTCATCAGCGTAAGTGGTCGTCCTCGACTTATGACTAAAATCAAGCTCCCCCCCCCCGCCAAAAAACAAAAACTTTAGTCACTAACCATTGTTCAGCGAGTTGTCAGGATTCCGGAGATTGCCCTTGAGCCAAGCTTCAAAAGAAACCAAAAGATTTATTAGGAGCAACCTGCCGGCATTTACCTGTATGAAGCCAACTCTGGAATATGTAATTTACGGTCACCTGTGACCCTCTTTCCTCCCCCCTCCCCCCCTGGGTGTGTCATCAATCAGATTCTCCAACGAAGCACCCGGGCTGGGTGTCAACAATCACGTCCTCCACTGAAGGATTTTTCCTGGGCAGGAGATCTGGTAGCCTAGCTACAATCTTTGTAAGATAAAGAGTTGGAACGGTACTTCTGGTTTTAAAGTGCTGTACTACTCCTTCCGATTCCCCCCCCCTTCTTTACGGCAACTCGAAAACGGGCACAGGACTGCTTTACGAGTTGACACGAGTTTTGTTCGGTGTTACGACCCTTTCCGGCTCACGGATGCTCAGGGAATTCTCCCAATCCCGTTAAGTTAGCCACGCGGTCGTTTGAGCGAACCTATCGTGAAGTCAGGCGGTTTTCAGCGAATCCGGCTTTGACTTGACCTCGCCGGACGGTCGCAAAAGGGGATATATACGACCCCGTCCCGGGCAGGCTGCTGCGGCTGTCGTAAATTTTTCAACGCGGCAACAGGCCGTGCGGAAAACCCGCCATAACGCTGGCTAAACCAACAGGTTGTAAATCAAGGAGTAGCTGTGTTTTAGTCACCCAGCAAGGTTGATTTAAGGGAGGAACCGGGGCAACGTTCCCACCCAACTTCCCTCCCTTCTCCCACCCACCCCAAAATTAAATTAAACGCTCCGTTTTTTTTATTTTTCCCCCCAGAAGAAAAAGGACGAATCCACATTTCAAAAAATCATGAGCAACCTGGATTCCAACAAAGACAACCAGGTGGATTTCAAGGAATACGCCACGTTCCTCGCCTGCATTGCCATGGCGTGCAATGACTTTTTCCACGGATTCCCGGACAAGGTGCCACGGCAGAAGTGAAGTGTGGAGGGGCAGAGGGGCGGGGGGGGGCCGTGCGACACGAGCGGGCCAGCGTGCAAGACGAGGGCGGTGTAAGGTGACTTCCCGCCTCCTGCAGCCTTTGGTTGGTGCCACAGCTTATCTCTGGCGAAGAGCATAGCCAGTTTCTCTCTCTCCTCACACACACACACACACACACTCACATGCACACACACACAGACATCCCAAGAACAAAATAAAGTTTGCTTTCAAAAAAAAGAAAAAAGAAAAAATACCAAAAAAACAAAAAACAAATCCTTGGTTGTCCTGCTTGTCTCCTGAGGGGCCGGGGATGATGGGCATCGGAGTTTGGGGCGTGGGGAGGAGGAAACCTGGTTTAAAAAAATGGTCCGGGGTATTGGTTGAGGGGGTTCAGTTTTGGAAACAATCAAAGGAAGGAAGGAAGGAAGGAAGGAGAAAGAAAAAGGAAAGGGGAAGGAAGGAAGAGGAAGGAAGGGGGAAGGAAAGAAGGAAGGAAGAAGAAAGAGGAAGGAAGAGGGAAGGGAAGGAAGGAAGGAAGGAAGGAAGGAAAAAGATGCAGTGAAGGAAAGAAGAAAGGCACGAAGGAATAAAGAGGGAAGGAAGGAAAGAAGCAAGAAAGGAGGGAAGGAAGAAAAGAAGGAAGAGAGGAAGGAATACAGAGAAGGAAGGAATAGAGAGAAGGAAGGAAGGAAGGAAAGAAGCAAGACGGAGGGGAGGGAAGGAGGGAGGGAAGGAACAAGGGAATGGAGTAAAAGGAAAGGGAAGGAAAAAGGAAAGGGTTAAAAAGGAAGGAAGGAAAGAGGAGGGAGGAAAATGGAAGGAGAGAAAAAAAAAAGAAAAGCTTCAAATCAAAAAAAGCTGACCAGTCAACAAAAAACGCACCAAGAACTTTTAATTTCTTGCAAACTCACTGCAGGCAGGAGCATCCCTTCTTGGTCCCTGGCTTCCTCCGTTGCTAGGCAACCACTTGCCTCCTGCATCCCCTTGGTCCTGCCCAGAGGGACCAAAGCTTTAGATGCTGCTAATGGCCTCCTTTCCTCTCTTTATTTATTTTTGTTTAATGGCCAGCCTTTTTTTTTTTTTTTGACTAAGATCAGATTCTATATTTTTATTATTTTTTAATCCTCTGGCAAAAAGCTTCCTTCAACTTTACGAAATAAACAAGAAAGGAAAAACAGGACCAGCTACATTTCTGCCAGCTACGAAACCGATGTAATCTTTGAAAGTTCTTTTTTGGTGTTGTTGTTTAAATTATAACTTTATATCTTTCCTGCATATTTGGTCTCCTACTTCCTTCTACTTTTTTCCTTATCTTTCAGTTCTTTCTTTTGCTTATTTCTTTCCTTTCGGCTCTAATTTATATTAGTTCTTTATGGCTGCCCTTAAAAAAAACTGTCAATAAGAATTATACATTAAAAAAAAACCCACAGTTGTATCTTTATATCTTTTCTTTTTTTTCCTACTTTATCTTTTGGTTCTTCCTTTTATTTACTTCTTTCCTTTCCATTTTAATTTCCATTAGTTCTTACTGTTGATCTTAAAAAAGTTAAGAATTATACATAAAAAACACATTATATCTTTATATCCTTTTTCTATTTCCTTTTTAATCTCTTCCTTCCTTTCCTTCCTTCCTTTCCCTTCTTTTCCTTCCTTCTTTCCTTTCCCTTACTTTCCTTCCTTCTTTCCTTCCTTTTTTTCTTTCTTTTCTTTCTTTTACTTCTCCCTTTCTTTTTTTTTCTCTTTCTTTCTTTCTTTCTTTCTTTCTTTCTCTCTCTCTCTCTCTCTCTCTCTCTCTCTTTCTTTCTTTCCTTTTTCTTCCCTGTTCCATTTTATTTTATATTATTGCTCTTAAAATTATAAGAATCATACATTAAAGAAACATTATATCTTTCTACCGCCTTCTATTTCGCTTATCTTTTCATTCTTTCTCTTTCTCCGTTTTACTTCGTGTTCATTCTTGTTATCACTCTTCAAATTTCCAGTAAGAATTACACATGCAAATTATACCTGTATTTCTTCCTTCTACTTCCTTCTGTTTTCGTTCTCTGATCGCACCTCTAGTCCTTCCTTCAAATAAATAAATAAATAAATATAACTACAATGACGTGGGAAAATACCCGAACAAAGCTAAATACTATATATGTAAGTACCCGCGAAAGCTTAAGAAAACATACATACATACATACATATATATGAACTTTTTTTTTCTTAAAAAAAAATAATAATCAGGAAACACATGATAAAAATGGAAGGGGTCGAGGGACTTAAAAGATAGCGGGGCTGATTTTGGGAAAGACTTTCCTGCCAGGAAGGTCTGAACTTCTCAATGGTTTTAAAGACATTTCAGTGTTTAAGCCACTTCAAATCTGGGGTGTTTTGATCTCACTTCAAACCCATGTTCAACCCAGAGGGAGAATGCAATGGGTCCCCGGGGGCTTTCCGCCATATTCCTTTCTGCTAGCCTCCATCCCTAGAGACCCTACACCGTGTATAAGAAGATACTTAAGCCACCACGCCCGATTCCCTTGCTTTGCCTCTTCAAGCCCATCATCCACGGTCTTCGGTGAGTTGGCTTTTTAATCTGGTATTGATCTTAAAACGTTCGCTTTCCCCTCGCGTCAAATTGGGGTTTCGGATAACTCCAATGGAGTCTCTTTCCCTCCTTTTATTTCCCACGAGTTGGTCTTTTGTAAAGAGTTTCTTTATTTTTTTAAAACCTGCCTGCTTTTTTTCTTCCCCTTTTTAGTTGGGAGAAGGCAGCCAAGCCTCCAGGTTTAGGAGCAGTCTACCTTGGAATTCTGGTTTCGGGAGACTGAACTATACAGCGTTGGCATCCTGCTTGTAGTTTCTCATTCATGGCAGGTTAGCCATAATAACCACAATGAATAATCATATATGAAATTTTAGCTGCCTGAGTCTCAGCGACTCTATGATGCAAAGCATCTGAATAGATTCTTGGAACTAAAATGCTGGGATTTTTTTTTTTTTTAATTCGAATTTTATTGCCATCAGGACATGATGTAATAAATATTCAGTGGATCGTTAGGCTAATATATTCTTATTGAATACATTCACAAATCTTTTCATCGCCCGAAAAGCCACACCCGTTGCTAAGCAGGAGGTTCGTAAGGCAACCACCAAGTTAGCCGGAATTATAACAAGGCATTATTTAATTTTCCAGTGGTCTGAGCAGGCTGAAATGTTTGGACAAGGCAGTGGCTTTTTCAAATTTGTGCCTATTTACTCGGCTTCATATGAGTCACTCCTTTACAAAAGTTAAACATCAAAGCCTGAAGTTTTAAGCTCATCCCTTAAAAAAGAAAAAAGAAGAATAATTTAAAGATACAGGGGCCTTGCTAGTTTTTGTTTTCCCCAGGACCGGAATTTTTCTTCCTTCCTTTCCTTCTGGCCTTGGCTCTTCTTTCTCGAAACTGCAAAACCTGTTATTTTTGCAAACTCCCCTTCTTGCAAAGATCTGTTTGCTGCGTTCGCCGAAGCCCTGGCAACGGATCGGGGTGATGACTGAGCTTTAAAACAAGTAGATTCAGGAGACGGATGGATAAGAGGGAAAGGGAGAGAAAGAAGGAGAGAGAGAGAGAGAAGGAGAGAAGGTAGGCAGGCAGAGGAGGGAAGCAGGGAGGAAGGAAGGAGTGGAAGGAAGGAAGGAAAATATGGAGATGAGAGGAAGAAAGAGAGGGAGGGAAGGAAGAAAAAATAGAAAGAGAAAGAAGGAAAAGATAAATAATATCAGATAAAAAGATGGATGGATAGATAGATAGACAGACAGACAGAGAAAAGCTAGAAAAAAGAAGAAAAATGTAAATGATAGATACGATAGATAGATAGATAGATAGATAGATAGATAGATAGATAGATAGAT